ACTACTTTGTCTGATAACTAAAAATATGAATAAAACAACTATTTCATCATATATTACGATACCAACATGCTATCACAATGTTAATATATGGTGAATTCAGAATAAAAAGTACTGTCCATTCACCCACAGCTTGGGCCTATTTTATTTTGCTTTTTCATACTGCTCCTACATAATTTCACAAAGATCAACTCATTTCAGTCAGAAGTATTCTGCATTAATAGACAAGAAAATATAAAGAAATATTGAACTGAAAGTTAATTTATTGAGTCCTTATTAAAAGAATTTGAAAACCTTCTATACAGCATCTTTTTGATAGTATGTTGGGTCTCTGGCCTCTTTCTAGAAGCAACCCTCCAAATCATAGTACTATGGACCCAGCTCAGAGTAGTTTATGACTGTGCGTATTAATTCTGATGAGAGAATATATTTTCTGTTTAATTATTTTAAGTACTTTAGAATTCTAAGTTTTGATGTGATTTTCTTGGCCCCTCCTTCCACTGGTGTTGTATTCTGACATTTGACAGCTGTAAATCACATTTCTACTGTCCTATGTGTTTCTGTCCACCTCAGAGGTCTTACTTAGTTTAGTAAGAGATTAGATTGATGTGTCATGACCATAGGTTAACTGCTGTTTGAATAAGATTATTATAGAATTATCGTACCCTACTCTTTTAGGTAAAAACCTCATTTAAAAAGGAAAGGCTAGTGGTGAATGTTATAAAAGGGAATCAAAATATTAAAACCAAAGGGATCTTTGTGCATATTTCTGCTTCTATCTGTATGGAAGGTCCTTCCTGATCCATGTGGTTTTGACAAATTTCCTATCATGATTTCAGCAAAGCTAAAACCAAAGTCGTACTTAATATAGAAGCTCTGGCAAAAGATGATTAATCAGGTGTATGACATTTAAGAGTCTATCTTGTAATAAGAAAAAACATTCTTGTGATCCTAAGTCAGCTAGTGGAAATTATTGCTGCCAGAAACATTATCTCCAAAATGACATATGCTTTCACATTTGTGCCTGACATTTACTGTGAACATCTCAAAAATATTTCCTCTTAGTTGATTAGACTAAGAAAAGGTTTAGTCTAATGAGGCACATCATCATAAATATTTAGTTGTCAAGTCTTTTAGATGCTATTTAAAATTACATAAAATACGTGGACTTTTTGTGCTTAAGTAGGAAGAGGATAAAAAGCTTCCTCATCTAAATTAGAGAAGTTTAAACACTAATTAATAAAGATCTATTTTTGATGTAGATATCATGCTGCTGTGAATTATATAAGTATTAGAATCCATTGCCAAAAAATGATCAAGGCAATACGTAGTTAAGGGGAAAGTGGCAAGAAAGAGATATACTGTCTCATTCTAATAGGGTTTAAGAATATGGAAATGATACCCTCTGTGGAGTGTGGTTACTCTAATTACTGAAAGGCACATTTTCTATATAAGAAGAGACTTATTTACTTTAGCTTATGAATGGTATTATACGACAGATTAACAAATAAAGTGCCCAGTGCCAGGAAATGTGTTACATCTTGTTGTTGGCCCGGATAATCCCAAAGAACCCCAAACATTACAGGCTATTGCTAATGTTTTGGTTACCATCCAAAACTTGACAGTAAAACTTTGTTGCTGAAGATACTACATACTTGTGTTACAGAATATAGTACTGAACTTGAAGTTTCATCCCTGACTAGCTCTCATAGTGCTGGAAAGTGCTATGCATGGTACTGAAGAAGAAAAATAATCATCAGTCTTACCCAGCTATGAACCTTGTGAACTACAGTAATGACTGATTTGGCAAGACATGCCCACTGTTGCAATAGTGGCATAAGTGTTAAGGGAGTAACCAACCATTTTCTGATTGGATTTAAGGCCCATTCCACAATATGAAAATCATACCTGGCACCATTTGGGAGCCAAGTGTATGTGGCTAGATAGGTCATAGGCCCTAGGGGATAACTTATTACTATTTACTATTATTCTGCTAAATGAACAAGGCATTAAACCAACTTTTAATGACTTAGGACTTATGGATATATGCATAGATTAGTGCAACTCTCAACTGTCATCTTAAAAAGTAAATACTTCTGGTGATTAATACAGGGACTCAAAACTGGTCAAGATACAGATAATAAGAGACTGTGGAATGTCTCACCCTCAATAAGAAACCTATATCTTATCCTAAGGCTCAGTGATCATTCAGAAGAGAGGCAAAAATGCTGTGAGATCTAGAGATGGCAGATTATTACAAGTCATCATTGCTTTCTAGACACCACAGGGTAGGTGCCCATATGAACTTACAGCAGTTGTGGCAGCATGCACAAGATCTAAGCAAACTCAAGCTAGGGAAAAATTCCAACATGGAGAAGATGGACTTAATGGGTTTAAAAAATGATGACACAACTTTGGGTAGGTAACTAAGGGAGAGTAGGAACTGGAAGGAGTTGGGGAAGGAGATGAATATGAACAGAATACATTGTATGAACTTCTCAAAGAACTATTAGAACTTTAAAAAATAAAATAAAAGGAGAAAAAAACAAAAGCCTTCTATTTTTTTATCTACAATTTCATGATGTCACCAAGTCTTCATGATGGCTTCTGACTTTTCTGTATAAAAGATCAAAAGATCAGTAACAGGGAAAATAGTGATTTGTCTCTCTGGTTTATACAATGCTTTCCCATGAATGATAGCCAGAAAAGTTTCTCCTATTGTCCTCTCTTTCTAGAATGGCTGACAATGTTGAACGTGGAAAGCACGGTTGAACAAGTGCTTCCAGAAGGTGTCATTAATATAAGAGCCAATAACACTCACTGAGACCGAGGGTATAGTGCATAGTCCCACACAGAGATAATGCTGGTTAGTCTCTCTGTGTTTTTTTTTTGGGGGTTTTCTTAACTTCATTTAGTTATTTCAAATCTGAAATGAATATATGGTAAAGAAGTGAATGAGAGGTTATACCTGGAAATTGAAATGAGCCTAATAAATGAGAAAAATATCAAAAATAAACAAAGAAAAGGGGAAAAGTTAAATGTAGTTGGATATTCTAGTCTTTTGTGATCCCAAATGATGTACCTTTGTGTAAG